CAGCAGGTAAAGTTAGTCTTAGCGACAGCTTGCCTAAGCTCTGGACCAACAACGGTGTTACATCGAACTTTGTCGCGTGTTCTGCATGCACAATTAAATTATATTCACGGTAAATTTGTCAATTCATTCGCTTAATATTCTACGAGAGTTATTTATTATGAAATCTGAATGTTTTAAAATTGTCAAATAAACTGAAATGTAAATGTCACAAACTAATAATGGAAGTTGAAGGGCTTCTTTCTTTTTAAGAACTACATAATGATATCGATTGTTTTATTGAACAATCACTTAGAAACATATGCACGATAGATACTTAACATGTTATTTTTTGTAAAACAATTTTGATATTCGCCAGCCGACTTTTTTATCATGTTTTTATTCCACTTAAGTCTTATACCTCCTAACATTAATTCCTTAAGGGTGAGTTGCACCAAATCGCTGGTTATCGTAAAAGTTATAATAGGGTTACAAGTGCAAAAACATATTCTCACAGAGGTTTTATGTGTTTTTCGTTTTTACAATGGAAACATTTAAACCTGAATGTCACTAAAGTGTCAAGTTGGTGTCAAGAATGACATTTACGTAAATTAAAATGTTTGGAAATTCATGTTTCGCCGATTATATTTATGTATCATACGCATGGTATTTTATAGTGAAATAAACTTTTTGCCCACGAAGATGGAAAAAATGGCAAACTCTTGTGAAAATAAACTAGTTTGGGCCATTATTGAAACTGTATTTACTTTACTACTCAAATATGTAGCAAAAATGAAGCAATAAAATTATACAAATATAAATGCATCTTATTTATTTTCCATATTATAAATTGTCCTGTCAATGCATATTATAAATTGACCTTTTATGGAGGACATTTTTTTAAATAAGAGAAAAGGGACAAGCGCTGTTGCTATGGCCTTAGACACTCGAAATTTGTCCAAACTGAATGTTTGGCCAAATTTCGAGTTCCATCTTGGAAAATCATTATTTCCGAGCACGCAAGACTTTATTCTTCTGGATTACGTATAGGATAATAGTAGAGATTTTCTTTTTCCATTACTTTTTCCATTATTTGTGCTTTTGAAGATAAGAGCTTGTGACAGTTGACACTACCGAACTGACACTAACCGTAACGCTAACTATAACCGCCCAAAATCGGGCGGTTATGATTAGTGTCAAATATGACGTCATTTTGACCAGCGCAAAACTGGTGTAGCGAATATCATAAACATCCGAAGACGTAACCATCGGGAATGTGCTGGTTAAGGTTTATAGTTAGTTAATGTAACTCATCCTTAGTAAATTTTAAGGTTATTCCAAATATTACTGTTACAAATAATTTTAACTTTAACGGTAACCGGCGATATGGTGCAACTCACCCTAAGTGTTTTGTTTTCATTTCAATTTCTTATTAAGATGTATCTATTATAAAAGTATGGATGGAATGTATGAAAGAGGATATGATGATAAGGGATAAGGGCAATGTACCTATTAGATGTAATATTTAATTAAAATATTAATTTATTTAACTTGGTAGAGGTTTTTTATATAAGAGAAGGGTCTAGAAGGATGAATGTTTGTTAAAGTTTGTAGCCTAAATTACCGAACGGATCTCGTTGAAATTTGGTAGATGTAGAGAATAGACTGAAATAACACATAGGGTACTTTTTTTATTTCCACATGAACAGAGTCGCGGGCAAACTCTAGTAAAACATAAAGTACAATTATTCGTTACTAGAACTAATAAAGTGCTATTAAAATACTCTGTCAGAAACGGTAGACGTAAACACGACCGCATGCAGCATCTGTTTTGGATTATCGAGAGAGGGCCATAATAGACAGCGTTCAATAAAACGTCATTGCACTATGCGGCGGCGTCCATTAAGTAGGTCAAAGTCAATGTTCTATGAGCTTGTCCAGGAAGACCGCCGTCTGTGGCGGGCTGACCGCTAACGTAATACATCCCGCACACACTGTCCACTTTGTGTGCCGAGCACACATCAACATATGATAACTTTCCATTACATCTTGTGTTACGTTCACTTTCCTCTCGTTTATTGATTGTCAGAGCTACGGGTGACCTATTTTACAAAACAAAATATTAGCAATTTTTTCATTTCTGTTTTTTTTTTTGTTACTGCTATTGCTTCTTTTCGTGTATCTATTATAATAAAGCGTAAACACACACTTCTTTGTTGCCTAAGATGTCAGCAATTACAACATATTTTTAAATAGTTCTATTTTTAATAAATAGCCCTACACTTATATCACGCTTTAGGCTATATATTTTCACGCCATTAAACTTAGGGGTAAATATATTAGATAAAAACCCTAACGTGGGAAAGACCATAAGTCGCTGCCAACATGAAGGAAGCAATTGTCATTTGTGCATCTGAATTTTGACATTTCATGCGGATAAAGCCGCACTGGAACAGCTAGTTTCAAATAAAGTGATACTTCTATTGTTTATATAATGTGATTGTGTTCTTTGATTTTCACAGGAGATAATAGGGATGTTGTATCATTGTTGTTATACATGTGTTATGACAGTGGAGACAGTTTTAATTGTGTTATAGCATATACAACATACAGAAGGAAAAGTAAATAGAATACCCAGGTTTCTATATGAAGTAATGTATGAAATATTTAAATGTTTAATATAAAAGTAAATTTGGACATCGGTAAACATTAAAATTGATATTCCGCGGATACCGCGCCGGGAAAAACGAAATCAAATGGAAATCATTTAATTTAATAAATTAGCGTCGACAGCCAAGTGTAGCGTAAAATCCTCAGATGAAATTTTGGTCAATGTTATGATTTTACGATTAAAAACGTGTACGGTCTTATTTATAAAATATTTAACTGTGAACTCTCATCATAATTAATGTTCGGAAACATCTATCAGTGTATTTTTCATTTCATATAAGTATCTGTTATATTTTATAGCGACACTATTACAAACATTTGGGAAATCTGTTTCATCAAAATATCTCAATGTCTGAAGACGAAAGTCTTCAATCATTGCATCCTCTCTGCAATGACGTATGGCGCGGAGACCTGGACGCTGGCGATGAGTCTGTCTCATAAGTTAAGAGTCGCACAGCGGGCGATGGAGAGAGCTCGGGGTTACTCTAAGGGATAAAATCCAGAATGAAGAAATTTAACGCAGAACCTAAGTTGACGACATAGCTCTCGAAATCAGTAGGCTGAAGTAGCAATGGGTCGGTCACATTTGTCGGGTCCGCGACTTCAGGTAGGGGAGGAAAGTCCTCGTATAGAGGCCGCGAGATGGGACCAGGAGTGTAGGGCATGCGTACGGCGGGAAGTCGTTGGATGCGGAAGGCGGAAGACCGCATTCTATGGAATGCATTGGGGAAGGAATGTCCAGCAGTGGGCAGATAAAGCAAAAAAAAGCAAAATGAAAACTTATCTTTCATGTAAGAAATTAAGGTATATGCATTAATGAATTCCAACTAAACTCTAAAAGCAGAGTCCGCTTAAAATGTACAACAATTATAAACTGGGAATTTATCTAACATTTCTAAGCTTCACTTGTAGTTAACAAACATTGTAACTACTAACTGAAGCTTTGTAAATCAATTAAGCACCTATCGAACATGCACGCCGATACGCAAAGCCTTTGTACACTGTAACTACAAATTTGACTGACATTTATTACAATCAGCTGAAAGCGATGCATAGAACGCTTATCGAACGAATGACAGGGTGCAAACACAGCACGGAATAACACGCTAGCGTTTTTATTCAAACATTTTTGGTGGTGAATTTTTATGTGTGTAAGTTTGTTTTTTTTAATAAAGAAGTGGGGGCTTAAAATCAGCTCCTCACTGTATCTCAACCAGTATCGCTTAATCTGAGTCTCCCCCTTTTGCCATCGGTTATAATTTTCATATACGTTTTTTTTTATTTGTATGACAATAAAAATATTTGTAATCGACGGTCTTTAAACGGTTTGACAAATAAGCTTGTATTTTTCTTTATTTTCTTAAATAAATCTGATACCTATTTAGTGTATTTTATAAGTAAAAAGTTTAGTTAAAAAAGCTGATAAAATCATACGCTGGTCTGAATAATTATTGTTATTACTTTAATCTGCCTCACATTGTCTTTGAAACATATAAAATGTTATTTTATTTGAATAAACACTATCCGCATACAGAAGAGGCTTTTAGATTAACTTTTCGTTCCTGCATTTATTTAAAAGCCCCTTTGAAATCCGTACAGTATTCTCCGGTGTAAAGGTTTTGCAAGATAAATAGTAAAAGGATGTTTTTCAACAAATAACTCGTATGAAAAATATTACTAACAGATACTTTGTTTTCCTCAAAAGTTTTATTCGCTTTACACTTTAATGCATTTATTAATTATACTTTTTTAATCCTACTAAAACTATCTTTAACATTTTCATCGTTAAATCGTTTAAAATGGCGTATTAAATAGCGCCGGGGTTGTAATTAAAAAAGTCGTTAAGTTCCGTCTTCGCCAGATTGTGTAAAGTGCTGTTTCTACCTAGATAGTTAAGCGTCGCAAAATTTATAAGAACAACTTATATAAAGCCCGTTAAATACTCTCAGTAATAACTGATCGTCTGTAGCGAGCCTTGCATTGTATGTTTCTTCGTCACTATTTAATTGTATTCACACGTCCACTTAAACACACACCACAAGTATGTACATATAATAAAAATTGGAGTGTGTAATATCAAAAGAAAAATTATCGATTTCGGTCAGATGATGTATTTGCATTGCTGATAATGAACGTAGCATTTTCTTTTTTTTGTCTGTCTGTCTGACCGCAAGCCGCGTTTGTTTTGGGTAAACTTCGACACGGCTGGGCTGATTTTATCCGGACTTTCACGGTATTTTTAATTAAAATATAACACCGAATAAAAAAGATAAGATCTACAGGAATTTATGTTGGTTTAATTTTTCACCACTTTATTAGGAATGCCCACAATTTACCTAATTAAAACTATAAGCTACGAGAAGTTAGTTAACTGTGTATTTATTACATCAAATTTGATTTTAAAACAAAAGTTAAAAGTTATTAAATAAATCACGGGCGAATCACGCTGCAGTTAAGGTGGGAATACACAGACCGATAAAATAGGTAGCCAGCAAACCAGCTACTGCACATTTTTTTCGGCGAGAGCTACTGGCGCAGTGTGTATATGCTAGTAGCATTTGAGATCGTATGCGCCAAAACTTGTCAATGCTAAGCTCCATACCTTCTTCGATCCGTTCTGCCATACAGACCGGTAGTAGTCACAAATTTAAAATCATTAACACATGTGCCAACTTGCATGCCAGTGATCCAACTACTAGCATGTGTATTTCTGCCCTTAAGCTTTATATTTGAAAACTGTCTGGCTTTTAAATTCAGTTACCGCCGTAATTGTTTCTGTAGACAGCGAGCGCTGCAACTATTTTAAAACAATAATTTGCTTCGCAATTTTAATACTCATTTGTTACATTGTTTCGCAACTTCAAATATTTAACATTGAAATCATATATCTGATATGAACGTGTATTCAACAAACAGTATGTGAGGTTCAAGGGCAAATTAACGTATAGTATTTTTCCTTGTAAATGTCTATTATCTTAATATATCGTAAAATAACAAAAAAAAAACGTTTTTTTACTCCTACGCAAAACTCAATTTTTCAAGCGCCTCTTATCGTTTTGCTGGAAATAAAATTGCTCTTTCGTGTTCCAGTTACGAATCATTATTCTTTTTTTCATTTTTAATGGAGAATTGTTTTGTAATTTGTCATTCATTGTTTTAGTTGAGGTGCATTTGAGAGCTATCCATTATTATAGATGATTTCCTCGGCGTGATCCCAGATTCAAAAATATTCGTGAGAGATGTTTCCGATACGGACTCCAATCTTATCTTTTTGAACATCAATGGCATGTGATTACATTCATAGCACTCCTGGAAACAAAAAAATGATATTTGAATTATAATGAACAGTGCAACGACACCAAAGGTAACTCTAACTCTAAGCATAACTCTATCAAAATTATCAACGGTGGTAGTGCCCGCTTTAACATCTTAGCACGAATGGGCCGGCACGCCCGGTGTAATACCAAGACCACACAGAAGACAGGCGTGAAATGGAAGCAATTCCGTGTTTCGTCTGATGAGTGTGGTGCCGGAGACCTAATTTAAGTCCCTTACTCTTTAACACGCCTTTCTTATAAGGAGAGGATGGGAAGGGGAAATGGATTTGACGGTGGAGGAGATGCATAGGAAGGGGAAATATCCTCTTTATGTGCATCTCCTCCTCCGTCGGATAACGGTAGGCAACGCATCTGCTATTGCGGATGTCTATGGGCTGCGGTCGCTTCGCCATTTTGGCGGATTCAGGTGGCCGCTTGCTCGTTTGCCACAATATGTTATAAAAAAAAATCTCGAATTACGTTTAATAACTGTTTATTTTATAACACCATTAGGCGAGTAAAAGACAATTGCAATAACAAACTTATAATGTCCCATCAATACGTAAAAATTTCTTTTCTCAACTGCAAAGTAACGAATACCCGTTTCGATGTCTAACAACAAGTTTCCACAGTCGAAACAGTTTTACAGAAACATGATATCATCGTCTATATTTCTATGAAAATCAGATAACAAAATGCATTCAGTATATGTAGTCTTCAATTTGGTGTTCAAAATAATCGAACATTTCTGCCGACGATAAAACAATATCAATCCTATCAGGTCAAGTTCCACTACAGTTCGACAACTGCACGACCAATATCGGCAAATTCGGTTTTTGAAATCATTAAAATTGTTTCAATAGTAAAATTTCTTTTGTTAAATTTCTTTTCTTTCGTCTATCTTTGGACTAGCGATGTCGCTATTCAAAGATAGTAATTTATAGAAATTGTCATTATAAAAAATTACGAGCATCTCTGCAAATGTTTGCAATGGTTTGCTTTATCAGCTTTTACTGAGAAAATGTAGAAATAGTTACTCGGTTGAATCGAGTCGTTAGTGCCACAAATAATCCATGCTTTCATCAAATGTAATGAATCTAAAGAATCTTATAAACTTAACCTTGTTCTTGTTTACTCAAACTGCATTAGATTGCCATTCAATATTTTATTAACAAATGAAAAATAATACATGTTTTTTTTTTTCTAAGGACGGATCAATTTAGATGGAAAATTTATTTTTAAGCTACTAAAGATTATTTGTGCTTAAAAGTAAACAAAATAAGTAGTATTAGAAATTAAAATTGAATAGTAGTGTATTCTTTTCTGTTGTAATCCCAATGAAATGTTCAACAACAAAAACATTTTCGACTACTATAAAAAGAGCCCACCGATAGCTGTTTGCAGATCACTTGATCTGTGACACGAGTGCATGTCGTTCGCCATCGGTACGTCGTTCGAATTTCCATACAATTGCATGTAACTCGAACGTTCATTTTACAAGTGCGCTTTCAGGAAAATCGATTTAAAGCCCTCAAATATTGCGCTTTTAGTATAGTGTTTTTCGGATGTAATTTTTGTTAAAACAGTGTCAACAGAATTAATTATTTACAAACAGTAAAGCAATGTTTGTATGTTGTCACGGTTTGTTTATCGAATAATTTGTTACTGATATAGGAACAGAACATTTATTTCTGCGTATACTGAAATAATTTTCACAGAATTACGTCGACGATGATGGTTATGTTGGAGACCTTTCTAACCGTAATATTCTATTACCGTAACACCGTAATTAGATTGTACATTTTCTTTGTTATGTTAATATGTTATCCGAGTGTATCGAGAGTGAAAACTCACAGTTATACCTTGACAAATGTAAAAGAAAACCAATAAAAATTTAGTCAAAAATACAGTAAATCGTAGTAGGGGCTTAAATTGAAACAAGTGGGTGCAGTAACAAGCTGTGATTGACAAACTCTAACGTGTTTCGCCCTATTTAAGTCCAAGTCATCAAAGCCTTCACAATGTATGACGTGTGTTACCGGAGAGTGCTTCGAGGCGGAAACTTAATGCGAAAGGAAATTGAACATCAAGCAAAAATAATTAAATGTTTCATATAAAATGCATTCAAACTTCATATTAGTTATTTCTTTTGTAAACAAACTTAAAAACGCTAACACTTAAATTTATTAATAGCCCTTGTCACTCAGTCACAACGTAGCTTTTTAATGATCGAAGAAATTTTGCAATCGGTCCAGTAATTTTTGAGTTTACTTGTTACATACAAAACACACCTTTGTAATATTATTATAGTAAAAACGAATAGCAATTCGAATGGCATTACATTCGATTCGTATTCAAATATCACAAGTTGAAATTTTTTTTTTCACAACTAGCAGTTGCTCGCGAATTCATTCGCGTGAATTTAAAAAAAAACATTAAACACAGCCTGTTTACTCATTGCTAACTGAAAACGTAGCTTTTTAATGGTGAATGGATTTTTAAATCGGCCCAGTAATTTTTGAGTAATTTCAATACATAGAATAATAAAAATCTTTCATCTTTATAATATTAGCATAGGTTACATTAATAACTTAAGTTATTAAAACTCTTGTGAGTCAAATTACATTAATTAAGAATCACAACTTATGTAACGCGTGCGTAAATGTAGCTACCGACTTGTTTCAGACGCGTCGAGTTTCCTTATTGAGGGTTTTGAACAAGCTTTATTTGCGCAATCGATTTGACAGATTATCGATTATCGGAGGTTTATATTGTAACTTTTCAGTGATACAAGCAAGTCTTCGGTAGTATAGTGGTCAGTATGCCCGCCTGTCACGCGGTAGACCGGGGTTCGATTCCCCGCCGAAGAGAACTTTTTATTTACTTAAAACTGTTTTTTTTTTTTGTTGGAATACTAGAAACCCGTCCCATCTTTACACCGGTAGAAAAAAAATACCAAACAAACGTAGGCAATAACGAAGAGTTTCGTTTACTTAATAAATTTAATAATTACGTAAGGTTTTTGAGAGAAATAAAGAAAAAAATCTTTATTATAGATTTTAGTTTAGCTTTTATATTTTTGATTGCTCCATAATTAATTTATGAGGAAAAAAGAAAATCCTTTTTTATAGAAAGCATTATCGTTATCTTTGAAAACAATTAAAGCCGAGGTATCATTAACAGCTCCAATCATTATTTATGAAAAGTAATAACGGCTCGTAGAGGTTACGCTACGAAATATTTCATGTGCTACGAGCTTCAAGTGTTTAAAGTTAGCGGATACCACGTAACATCTTGCGCTTGCCGTTTATATAAAAATGCCGTTTATATAAAAATGCGAAATTTACAATGGATGGATATTTGTTAGCGTTTGTAGTCTGAACGGCTGAACGGATCTCTATGAAATTTGGCATAAGTTTAGGATATAGCCCGGAAGAACGCATAGGCTACTTTTTATCCTAGGAATAGTTACGGTACCCGTGAAATTCATTAGTTTAGTTTTTATTATATTTACTCGATCATGCTGCAAAGGTTCAACATATTTTATTAAAATTTGGCACAGATGTAAGACGAGGGATACGTAGCTTTTTGTTATTTATTTAGTTCGTATGTTTTCTAATACCACGCGGATGAAGTCGCAGGCAGCAGCTAGTATACATATGTAATTTCGAGTTGTAAGTTCGTATGAAATCCAACTGCGTATTTTCTAAAATATCTAAAGATTTGCATTAAATTAAAACATAGTGAACAGTACATTTTCAGACTCAAACTCCGATGCACTAAGCTTATACGGTTCTAAATAAAACGAAATAAAACTCTGGGAGTAATACGCAAATGGACCGACTGTGTTGTGAAAGGGTCTCGGATCTCCACAAAATTGGATTACATGTTTCGATACCTGAAAGTAATCCGAATTGGAAAAAACATGTATGCAGCTGCAGCATTTTTAACATTGCATCTACTTTCGGATAAGAGTAAAACTATAATGGTCAAAAGTAATATTCGTAAACAAAAGTATTTTTTTCTACTATAATAATTTAGCTCAAGACGACTGTCGCTTCGGTGACTGCTATTTTTAGCATCGTGCCTACTATATTCTTATTTGTTTTAATTTAAAGGTAAAATAATTAAATTTGTTATGAACAGTATAAAACTTCGTCCAAGCTTAGAACGGAGATTGGAGACCATTATCTTTAATAAAGCGGCTCGCTTATTAACTCTTGCAGATTTTAATAATTTTGTTTTCTGTTTTAACCTGTATTAAATACTTGCTGGTGCCAGCGACTTCGTCCACGCAATATTAGGGTAAAAAGTAGCCTATAATATGCCCGTCTATGTCAATAGACGGGCATATTATAGGCTTCCCTCAGTGGAGGTCCGGTCGAAATCGGTCCAGCCATTTCGGAGATTACCCGGAACAAACGCGGTTTTCGGACAGAAAGACGGCCAAAAATTTATAAAATGCGAAATCAGAAATTTTTATTTTGATATTACAAACAGACACTCCTATTTTATTATATATAGATATATATAGAGACATAATGATATAGATATAGGTATAAATTTAACAAAAAATATATAAACAGACTAAAACAGACATGCAAATGTACTTAACTCGGATGTCACTTTTAAAGCCGGCTTAAAGTAAAATTGATTAAAAGCTCTCCATTGGAGAGCTTTTTATAGCGTACAATCTGAAACCTACATGCGTCCGGATTTCCGATGTCAACAGCATAAATAAATCAATAATATAATTATAAATAAAAACTTTTCTATGCCAGTGCATTTTATAGCAGTAACATCCATTTCTTTTTAATTAAAAAATTTTAACTGTATTTTTATTTTCACATAAAAATAATGTAAGAAATTAAAAGCTTGCTGTACTTGTTATCCACAAAAAATGTCTTTAATTATTTCGTAAGTTGAACCTATCTGTTATAAATAAATTTCATTAAATACTTACTTCATTGACCAAACAGCGGTGACCACAAAATTGGTGTAATGTAGATACATCAAATTTTCGCCTTCGGGCCCTATCCTCAGGTTCTAGAGGCCCGTACTTCGGTCTAGGTTTCAAAACTCCACCCAGATTCTAGAAAACAGTAGAACATAAAAATGATATTGGTATCTACATCGAATAATTTTAACATTTAAACAGAAAATATTTTTAAAATGATATAAGAAATATACGGACAGTAACTGTCAATGATGTATCGAAATTGGATATTAAAATGAAAATTTACAATGAAATTGGACAAAAAAAGTTTTTCGATACGTTTTACATTGAACGACTATTATTTTATTAATATTGCGATTATTTTATAATAATTCCTGAAGAAACCTATCTTTAAATTGTTATTATACTCACATTACGAACAATGAATTTTGCTATAGTTTTAATTTGAATTATTGTCACAAAACAAAAAGAAAATAATATCCATGTACTGGCCAATATCATTTGCACTTTTTCCGTAAGATTTATTAAAACGTAGAGTTTGTGTACTATAAAAAACTGGAACAAGAATACAAACACCGTCAGTCTAGAATTATTTAAACATATTGAATTTAAAATATTTTTTTTTTTTTATAGTAAAAGGGGGCAAACGAGCGGCGTGTACACCTAGGTGGTCAACGACGCCCATGGACATCCGCAACACCAGAGGAACTACAGATGCGTTGCAATTATTACGCATTTCTCACATTTCGAAAAAACATACAATCCGTATACAAATGTAAAGGCGAAACCGAATGCTATAAAAGAAATTTTACTGGTATTATAAATGAAAAAACTTACAAAAGTCAGTATAGGATGCATGGCCCAGCATGTAGTCCAGAATTGTGTTGGCTTAAATCCGAGTAAAAATTGTATATCAGTTGAAAATTTCTCTATTCCATACAACCACATAACAACAGCAACTTTAAAACCCCCCAGGTACAATACAGTCAAGTTTATACCTTGTATTAATCCTATTAATTTATGTTTGGGTAGCTGAAAAATACTAAAAATGTTCAATTAAAAAAGAAAATGGAAATGAAAAATCTTTTAATTGTAATCTGACATAAACTATATATTTTCATCGAATTTCAGTGCTTATCTTCTGAAATTTTTCATAGCTTGCAATGAAAATAACAAACAAATATGTGATAAGCATCTATATAGAGGAAATTTAATTTAAAATATCCGATTTTGTAACTTTTAGAGACCTTAAAACAGTTTTAATAAAAACAAAGCTTCTACAAATTCATTAAAATCTAAAATTATTAATAACCTTGGTATTTGTGCAAGTAGTAACAAACATCGTTAAAATCGCAAGAAAATCTTAACCCTTGAGATATAAATAGGATTCCAAAATTCACCACAAAACAACTTGAGTATTTCTGAAGTCCGCAAACTTACTACGTAACCGCAACGCTCCCAATTAGCCTTTCGAGAATGGCTTATGCACAAAATTGCTGTTATAAATAATATCTAAAATATATAGTACTTTCAGATATATTATGAACCTTTATTCATATTTTATTGAAAACCAGGAATTTAAGTCTGCTATTATAACTTTATTAACATAGTATAGGTCGCTAAAAAACGCACAGCTTGTTGATTTTTTTTTAAATCAAAAATTTATATTTTCGGTGTTTTCTAGTGCTTGTAAGTGTTGTAATGTTTTGAATAGAATAAATGATTGTTATTATTATTTTCTTTTTAAAATTATTTTATCTCCGTCTGGCTGGCTTTTACATATAAATATAATAAAATAAATATATTTTATATACATAGTAATATAAAATACTAATATAATAATGGAACATACTTAAATAATAAAATGCATAAACAATACCAGCCAAACGGGATACCCTCGGCTTTTATTATTATATGACTATTACTATTAGATACCTTTCGAAAGATGGTATAGATATATCTAGAAATGATGTACAGACTGAGAGAGAGACCGAGAGACCCACCGTAAGGTCTTTAGTTACATCTTAAAGATTTAATTATGAATGACCTCGAGTATATGATTCAAACCTAGTTGTAATCGAATTCAGTGTTATTAAAACTTACTCAAACTCTACCCGAAATGTCTTACTCAAATTTCTTGCCGTCAATTATTTAGTATAAATGAAATCTAATACAATCTCGTAACGTAATTAAGAAATCAGATACTTGTTAAAATCTAACTAACAAAGCGTGTTAAATTATATTAAAACTTTCTCATAGAAATATCTTTCAGATTAATATCATAAATCCTTATTGGGTATGACTTTTTAGTAATGTATACAACAAAATTTCGATGGAAGAAAAATTCTAAAGAGAGAATAAGGGATATCGTTATATGTCTATATTATCTGATTTTCCTGTTTCGGGTAATCTCTGAAACGGCTAAATCAATTTTAACAATTTTGATGGAACATAGCTTATGTGTGAAAATAACTTAGGCTACTTTTCTTCGCTACGAAGTCGCGGCCAATCGCTACTTTTAGATAGAATTTACACCATTGTCTTTTTCACTAAGCTAGGTTAAAATATTAAAGGAAAAAGTGAGAAAATATGTTACACGTGCCATGAGAACATTATATTTATTTATTTTGAAATATATGAAATCGCTGTAACGTTTTGGTGAGCGTACGAAGTGGGTCAAGTTTTTTAAACTTGAAGATGCTCCATGACCTTTAAATTAAATTAAATGTAATAAAATTTAAAACTGTTTTTAAACATTTGATTTTATGATAAAATTATGTTAATTAATGTTTTAAATGCTAGTTATTTTTTTAGAGTGAATATTAAATTAATAAAATACATTTAATATTTACTTAAATGTTGCAAAAAATTAGTTATTCTGCAATTATAAATTTTCCTAAAAACCAGGTGATACATGTACCAGTTTTATGGGTAAATTTAAGAGTATTGGATAGCGGCCAATTTTTAGCCCCGACTAAAAATGTCGACTCTATCGATTTGAAAATGTACTTCGGGACACTACAATAAATTTTCGAATACAAAAACCTTTGTAATGTTTTTATCGATGGCATATTGATAAAAATATTAACATCGTTTTTTATTCATTTAAAGCTGAAAAAAATTTCGTCTTTTGTTTATTTTGAGATGAAACACTAATTAAAAAAGTACTAACATTATTTATTGTAATTCAGATAAGATTACACAAAATCTTTCACTCAAATATTTTTATTTAGATAAACAATGTGCGATCGATTTCTAATCTAATTTGAATTATTGGCAGTTTTGACAGCGAAATGACGCTAAGAGAACGGTTTCTTGACCATCGATATCTCAATTCTTTGATTAAATGTCATTCATGCCTTTAACTTGGGTAATATCTAATGTTGAAATTGTTTTGACTTTAAGTGTTGCACAATCCTTTAAGATGGTAATAAATATTAAAACGAACATTTCAGTATTCGGCCGTAAGTGTGTCAGCCTACAGTTAACAGTTATTTTCCTCTATAAATATATGATGATATTCAAATTGAATCGTACTAAGTTGTGCAGTTTGTAGCGTCGCAACGTCACACCTCATATTAATGCCTGTGGAAATTCACTCGCAACGATGTGACCTATATTAGAACACGACGCAATAGAACATATATCATACTAAGTTTTATGCATTTACCTACATCCGAGTTTATGCATTTAAACAAAGATATAATTTCAGGAATATACTATTACAACAAGACTAGTATGAGAACTGTATTATCTTGGAACAAGAGTGAGTTGAAAGATTGTAACTGTTTCGACGCTGAAACCCCTTCATCATACTAATCAAATATAATCCTCCCAGATATTTAAGTGGTGAATACCTAATTTAACTTTTTTACTACATTTTTTAAGACCAAAACAAAAAGAAAACATAAAAGAAATAAAGATTTGCGTTAAGTTACATATCACATTCTCATGTAATACTGGCCATAAAAAGACGAGTAAAAATAAATAACACTGCGACCTGTTAACTATCTACACATACATATAATAAAATTGGATTGTCTGTAATATCAAAATAATAATTCCAGATTTCGGTATGATGATGCATTTGCGTTGCTGATAACGAAAATCGTTTTTTTGTCTGTCTGTGTCTTTCCGCTAACCATGTTTGTTCCGGGTAATCTCCGCAACGGCTGGGCCGATTTCGACTAGCCTTTTATTTAAGGGTAGCTGACATAGACGGGCATATTATAGGCGAATTTTTTATCTTAATGCATGGACAAAGTCGCGGGCAACAGCTAGTTATAAGTAAAACAGAAAAAAGAAAAGGTAAATCGCGCTTAAACAAACGAAGCTCTGTAGTTAATTGTTATTACGGTAAACATTTTAATTTGATTAAGAGCAATTCGTATTGCCGACAGGGTTGTTTTGATTGATCTATTTTTATTGTGCCCGGTCAAGGTATAAAAATACATCGCAAATATCGAGTAAAACGTAGAACAAAGCGAGCGAATACTACGATCGTACTCGAGGTAACTTTGACATTGACCTTTATGTAACCATGTTCTAAGATGTTATAGCAAAAAAAAATATACTATACGAGGTATCGCCATGAAACTTCGTCAGCGCAAATTTTGGACCACCAAATACGCCATTTTGACAGCGCGGAAATAAAAAAAGTAGCCTATAACATGGCCGTCGATGTCAGCTACCCTTCAGTAAAAACAGATCGAATACGGCCCTGCCGTTTCGGAGATTGCCCGGAACAAACACGGCTTGACAGACAGACAGACAAAAAATAATCAAATGCGATTATAATAATCAGCAATACAAAACTATTTTGATATTACAAGTACTCAAAATTTTATATATGTATAGATGATTAGTACACAATTACGTACTAGAATAAATACAGAATCGTCCCTTACGTATCCAATTCCATCTTTATCAGGCTAAAAAAAACTTCCTAATTTTACTTTTAAAGGCCTTTTCATATTTTAATTAATTTTCGGCCGCGACTCTGTCAGCGTGAAATTAAAAAAGGTAGGTATGTATATTCTTCCAGACTATCCTCTACATCTATGCCGAATTTCATCGAGATCCGGTCAGTAGTTAGGCTACAAATCTAATTATCAACTCATCTGACCTTTCGCATTTATAATATTAGTAAGATTGGATAATCTGTACATGTTTCTAAGAACTAAAGATATATTGATTTTTAAAATTGTGTTACAATTAATAACATTAATTACGTTATCATACTTATATCTATAAACAATTTGTCTAATAGTAATTATACAAAAGAAATAAAGACATATGACTCGTTATAAGGAAATGAAAATATAATGCCGCCTCAAAGTCTGCTGTAGTCTGTGTTTTACTGGAATACTAGTTTATTTTTGTTAGATAAATCCCGGGCGAGGTTCCCGCATGTGAGCGATGAAGGCAAAGGTCACAGTACTGATCGACCGGATGTCTGCCTTTGTCTTGTGAGATAACATTTACCTTGCCCGGCCAACGTATGTTGACAAAGCTTTTGTTTATCGATGCAACATTGAATATTGTGGCAACATCATTATAATGGTATACAGATTTACAGGGTCAAGTTTATATTATGATAGTGTATTTCCATTAAGTTTATTAATTAATAATGATGTAATATTATAAATGTGAATGTTTAGATGGATGGATGGATTTTTGTTTGAGTTTGTAGCCTGAATAGCTTAACGGGTTACGATAAAATTTGGCATAGGCTGCATACTTATATTTTGTTCTTAATTCTCGTAGACGGAGCCGCGGGCAAAAGACATATTATAAAAGATTATTTAAATCATTGGTTTAATTTTTAATTTTACTTTTTACTAAGAGCATGCTCGGTGTGAGCATGGTGTGAGCAGATAGTTTAGTCATAGTTGTACACCCGCCCTAAGCTGTCATCTTGCAAGATGAGGTTTGACTAGATAAACCCATAGTTGAGTACGGTTATATTTTGTTATGGTTAGTTGTAGAAAGATCACGCAACCCATTATTCAAAGCGCAAACCCTTTCTAACAATTTATCTAATGTATTTAATCGAAAGTGTTGAAAAAATAAAGTAAATTATAGCTTACACCATTCCCCTTTGCATGTAAAATGTTCGACCTTTAGCTTACACGCTGGCGCAATGAATTTTTCGCAAAGCCCTTGAATTATTAAAGCGAGTTGACTTGTTTAGAGGAAACGGTTCCACTTCTAATACACATACAAGCTCGGGCTCGTTCCTTTAACTTTGTAATTTAATATGTCACGTTTTCAATAAACAAGTTAGGTAGATTTAAATTGTAACGTACTAGGTTTCATAATACAATTATAAACTACTAGCTTTCGCCAGCGACTCCGTCCGCGTGGAATTAAAAAAAAAACATGCAGACGAATTGAGTACCTCCTTTTAGGAAGTCGGTCAAAAAGTGAGCACTCTATGTGTTCTTCCAGACTATCCTCTACACTCTCTCCTTTAGACCAAATTTCATCGAAATATGTTGTCGTTTAGGCTACAAACTCTAACAAACATCCATCCTTCCATCTAAACTTTCATCTAAGCATTTATAATATTAGTAAGTAAGTTTATGATCAATTTAAATATGATATTGAAATATTTCTATTAAATTTATCATTATATATCCCAATATTGACAAAAATGTAATTTCCCGTGGACGTGTCGACAACAAATATGAACAAGGGAGGTGCCACACGAGTGTAACCTCGATGTAACATTGCAGGGCTCCGAATTCAAAAGACAATGGACTATAGAATTAAATGGTACGCAACGCACAGATCTGCGAACATTCAACAGCAGCAAAGCTCCAAAAACACTGTTTAGGATAAAGTAAGGTTAACGAGTGTATCGTGTGGCATCGCTTTATGTGGCGTTCTCATCATATAAACCGTTGGATTATAGAAAAACATTGCATCAACGAATTTACGTTACCCTTTTGAATTTTCGACAGCAATGCCAATAAAATTCGTGGAACTAAAGCCATTCAATTGCATTTCAGATGAAATTCGAGTGTCGATCTCCATATCACTTAATGCCAAAAGTCAGAAATATTCAGATTTTTTTATGAAATTGATGAATTGAAGATATTTTTATGCATTCATATTCTATTGAGGGGATTTTCATATAAGTATTGAAATGAAAAAGTCAAAAGGTATACACGTGCGCGTATTTGAAAGGCTGTTTTATGTTAGAAGCAAGCCGGAAGCTCGTTAGTTTTTTATTGAATGTTCCTCGCGGTGCAACTTAAATCCTCCACATTTCTCTCAATACTAGCCGACGTAAATTGCACTGACCTTTGATTTTTACAGTCATTTTATTCTATGAAACGTAGCATAATATAAAATTCTCTAGTCTCGAAGAATATCGTGTTGCAATCAGAATGTCGGTGTCGGATCTTGATGTAAATCAAACGATCGAATCAACTTAGTCCGGACTTGGATTTTCTGCAAATGCCATTCCTCTGATATTCAAATTTCAGAATCTCTTCGTTGCAAGAGTAAAATTTCTTCTTGTATAATTTTAAAAAAATCTTGAAAGCTATACTTTGTTATACTTTGTTTACTTGTTATGAAAGGTGAGAAATTTAAATCCACTAACTAATAACATATTTTCCGACCTACGACGACGTTGGTGAATGTTTACATAATGAAATAAAGATCCGAGAATTTCTTAGCGTTGCTTTAGAGACACTTTTCTCGTCAGCATTCCATACTAACATAATTACCTACATTTTTCTTCACATTATTAGATAAGATAAAATTCTTTTTAATTAAGCTGCCAACATTGTTACACGTTTACTCATTGGTTTTATTGCTTTAAAACTAAGCGAAGATTTACTTAGTGTAAATGAAATTCTCGTACATTTGTCCTTAGCCACGCGATTTTAACAGTCAAGGAAGTTTATTTCCTACCCATGTTGAAAATTGCTATATACCTCTTATATTGACTGTTAACCATATAACATGTTTTCTGTGAAGTTGATGTAAATCCTTGAATACATAATAAGAAATAACATACTTTTAATGTTTAGATTTGAAATTATTTTTTAATCTAGGCTGGAGAGTCATGAGTCATTACTGATGTAAAATAATTTAACGATGCAGACTCTTAACTCAAGTTGGTCGAATGAATGGCTTGGATAGTTTTAGTTAATTAGCTCGACGACGGGCGTACACATTGTTCTGATGACTCTTACGCTTCAAAATACCATAAAACAGACTCTCCGTCGTGCATGAGTACCCTAACTAGTGCGCTATCCAACTGCAAGCAATTATGCATTCAATTATAATGCATTGAAATATTAAACGAGTATTTAGACGTACTTGAGTAATGTAAACTTAACTTAAATATGGACTAATTTTGGAGTTACGAGCTCTTGTACTCCTTTCCAAAGATTTGTAGTCTACTACTTATCTTCCATACTAAATATTACTAGCTTTAAAAATTAAAAAAATTAAATTAAAAAGATGGTAAATGCTATGTTGATCCAGAGTATGCTCATATGTGTTATTTTAGTGACAATCTCTAACAATCGATCTATATCTGCGCTTTAATAATATCAGTAAATTCATAATTAAAAAAAAATAATTACCATAGCAACTGGATACGACAGGTTACAGCAACAAAAGCACAATATTCCCACCATGTATACGACTTTCACTGAGCGAAATTCGTTATGCAAAAGCTTCGATATCGTCAACGTCAAAATTGCCTGAAAAAAATCGTTTATTCTAATTTGAATATAAAATTATAGCATAAACGAGTACCTCTATCGTCTCAGAGGGGCACCGCTGTGCTCCCTTGTTATTCAAAACCAAGACTATACTCAAAAGAACGCTCAATACAATCTATCCAATTTTTAAGAACCATAAAAATTACATCTCACTAATATTATAAATGTAAAAGTTTAGATGTAACATGTACCCAATGTTTGTTAGAGTTTGTAGCCTAAACTGCTGATCAGATCTCGATGAAATTCGGCATAGGTGTAGAGGATAGTTTCTAAGAACACATAAGCTACTTAGTTTTGTTTAGCAATCCCACGCGAATGTAGTTGCGGGCGAAAGCTAGTCTATACTATTATAATAGAGCGTAAACACACACTTCTTTGTTGCCTAAGATGTCAGCAATTATAGCATATTTTTGAATAATTCTCTTTATAATAAAAACCCCTACACTTACGTCACGCTTTAGGCTATAAATTTTCACGCCATTAAACTTAGGGGGTAAATGTTTTGCATGAAATCCCTAATGTGGGAAAGAGACCATAAGTGGCTGCCAACATCAAGGAAGCAAAGTTGCCATGCTTTGTCATCATGTCATGATCTTGACATTTGCAATTGAATTTGACAAATGTAAACAATAAAACAATATCTCATGCGGATGAAGTCGCACGAGAACAGCTAGTATTAGATAAAATTAGTATATCAATACAAACTATTATTTCACGTAGATCGCCACAAATCTTTTTCCCTAGAGCCTTAATATATAAACGTGTATTTGTTTTGTTCAATAGCTTTAATACATTCAATACAGTGGACAGAAGACCCCCTAGGGATGCAGTTAAAGGCAACAAAATGAATCGGTAACTTACAAGAAATGTGTTTCATTTATTTTATCCTTGTTTATTCATGTAACACATTTTAACTGTCAATTTCTACACAACACGTGTATGTTTTATTATAAAAAGGCCATTCTAATACTATTATATGAATGAATGTGCTTCTTGTTTTAAGGAGACTATTATTGTAACACCTTTTATTAATGTGTTGTTAGAATACCTTATAAAAGATGAATGATGAAGGGAGACAATGGTTTTACAATAGCAGTGGCTGCTAAAAGAAGGCCGAGAATGACAATGATATGAGGGTTATATCAATGTAAAAGAGGACATCCAAGAGTCTTATTTCATTGTTTTGTTTATTATTGTGTCAATATTCAGTTTTTATAAAGTATTATTGGGTAAAATAAAACTAAGAGCGGGCGATCACCTCTGACTAAACTATAGCAAAACTGTTGTGCGATTGTCATTTGTTTCGCAGATAATTCAGCTGTTTAGATTTATAAGTAAAAATCGAGTAGTGTTCGTGTCTCCATATAATCTTATAATAATCAAAATGAGTCTAAACAGTTGTGCGTTAGTTTAGTTTTACGTGTGCGCGCGCTCTTAAAGTGTGTCTCATGGATCTGATTTTCATGTTTAAGTAGCAAATAACGCTTATGAAGTATTGTTGATTAAAATTGACGTAATAACTGTAACTCGTTTATTTTTAAAACAAAAAATACTCACCAGATATGCGCTTAATGAACACATCATACTGAGGAATATGTAAATTGTGAAAACTTTCTGCGCGTGCAAAAACTCCGAACTCAGGGGCAGTACAACAAACAGGAGATAGTGTGACGTTATATCCGTATTATCTTTAACGCATACTGTCAATGCCAGGTACAATACTCGTACTATAATAGATCTGGCTAAAGCGAACGTCGTGAAAATTATACCAAATATCACCACTGCGTTATCTATCATAGTATTAGGGGACATTGAACCAAAATCGTAAACACCGACCAGTCCAATACCAAAGGCGAATGTTATGCGATCGATTGCTGAGGCCTGAAAAAAATTGCTTTTTTTAATAGAATTATTTAGCAACATCAACCATTTGATGGATTTATTTGATATATCAACCTAAATGCCATCATATGACAATATTAAGACAGTAAAGTTTCCTATATAGAAAAGGTGACGTCACATAAAATCTTACTAATCTTACTAATATTATAAATGCGAAAGTTTAGATGGATGGATGGATGGATGTTTGTTAGCGTTTGTAGCCCAAACGGCTGAACGGATCTCCATGAAATTTGGCACAGGTTTAGAGCATAGTCTGGAAGAACACATAGGCTACTTTTTATCCCGGGAATAGTTACGGTTCCCGTGGGATTCATTAATTTAGTTTTTTAATGTTCACTCGATTATTCTTCATCGGTTCAACATATCTTATTGAAATTTGGCACAGATATAAAACAAAGTCTGGAGTACACATGAGATAAGCTTCGTCCCAGAAAAATGTCCGGTTCCCGAGGGATATGTAGCTTTTTGTAATTTATATAGTTCGTATGTTTTCTAATACCACGCGGACGAAGTCGCGGGCAACAGCTCGTAATTAAATAAATAAATGTTAGAGACGAAGAGTAACAAAGAAAGTAATTTGTGTATTCACCTTTTGTTATACAAAATAGCGTTATAATAATAATTTGAAATTGCTAAAGTACGCAAAGGAAACTAAAAGCCGCAATATCAAAATGCAGCAGAGCGACTATGACCGTTTGTGCAACTTATATCACATAAATCGAGTTTACTTAGATTTATGCGGAAAATTTGCGTTAGCCCGTACTTTGCAAACATTGAAGACGCTCGAGATATCTTTTCAAGTAAATGTTGGTAAAATAAAATGATATAAACAATGCTTCTTTCTCATCTATACTATATTATAATAAAGCGTAAACACACACATCTTTGTTACCTAAGATGTCAGCAATTACAGCATATTTTTGAATAATTCTTTTTTAATAAAAAGCCTATATATTTAAGGGCTATATATTTTCACACTATTGAACTTAGTTGGTAAATAAATTGGATGAAAATCCTAATGTGGGAAAGAGACCATAAGTTGCTGCCAACGTCGAGGAAGCAAGATTGCCATGGATTGTCATCATGTCATGACATTTTGACATTTGCAATCGATAAATTGACAAATATAATAATATAAACTTTATTTAATCGTTAATTAAATAAAGTTTTATAATTACCTGCGGATGAAGCCGCATGGAAACAACTAGTTTAAAATATAAAGATATGAAAAGTCAGTTTATCATCTCTTTTCTTTATTTATGTTCGCGTAAATTCTTACAAGTTTAGTAATATTTTATCAGAGCATTTAAAAATTGTAACATTTAATTTACATCTGTCAACTACGATTATTTTATCTTAAGCAGCGCTTTGATAGGGGAAACTCGCTTAATCGACGCTTATTAGATTTCCTTTGAGCACGGGAAACCGGGTAAAATATCAATTTTACTGTATTAATAGATATCTTGACAAGTTTTACCTTCAACGTCACCAACGACCACTTAATTTAATCTAAAGTGACGTAAAGCGGCTAAAGAATTTATTTTAGTAGTTTTAACTTTAGATTTTTTCGTAATAATTATCTCTATCTTAACTTGATATTACAACAGATACTGTGATTGTATAAGTATGCATTTTAATTTATTTTTTTTATAACTAAAGGCAAACAAACAACGATTTAACTGATTCTCTTTGTATTATTTACAATATGAAAGTTACTTGAAAATTACGTCGACTAAAATACAATACTTTTGAGCAGACAAACGTTTTAATATTCCAGAACGTTCTACGACAGAGCAAACAAAAATTGAATTATTTGAATTCAGTTTAAGGCGATGGAGAATCAACAGAAAATCAGGTGACAGTAAATAGTCTACGGAACGGATCGGAAGCAAACTAGCAAAGAGAAATGCAAATTACACGGGAACGAAATTCACACTCGAGTACTTTGCACTTCAGAATGAATTGTCCCGTAGTAACGGGTAACGGTCCTTTTTAATCACAAAGTGGAGACTGAACATTTTACTTCACATGAACTAGTCGCTCTAACGATTTGTAACTTGAAACAATCATTACTTTCATTTTTAAATTCCTTGTTATAAAGTTTAGGGCAGAATACTGAAACGACATTTAAACAATTAATAGAGTCTTAAATGATACGGCCACGCCCAACTTCAAAATTCTATTCAGATGTCGACGTCTACCAGATTTAAAGGCACTTACGAAGCGATGTATTAAAGTTTTGTTTCAGTATGTAGCTGTTATAAGAATGGAGAAAACAAAATAATTGGAATTAACCCTTTTGATTCAGGTAATAAAGTGGTAAACATCAATAAAATGCAGTCTTTATTGATTTTGAAAGGAGATACGCATTCGTATATATCTATTAGTAACTGATGCATAGATTGGTAAAAAAGATAATAGCTACTATAGGTATATTAAAATATGGGTAAACAATGTAGATCTTGTTATAAATCTTACTAGCGACAACTAGTATAGTATAATATAGTAATAATATCTTTGAAAATTGCCAGTGAAAGCGCTGGATGACTTACATATACTCGAGGCGCTGAGGCATCAAACATTTGACTAATGGCAGTCGAAAAAAAGTATTCCGTATAAAATAACGTGAATAATAGAACGAAAATTGTTGAGAATGTCCTCCAAAGCGTTGATATTCTGACAAGCTGGAATAGAAAACAAACTTTATTTCACGGTAAGCTCATTTTCTCTTTTCCTATTAGCCCACGTCCTTGCTAAAAGTATTTTTGTGTTGAGTGTGCGATTATACCATAGCTGCATTCTAATATTTTTAATATTCATGTTAAATTTAGAACGTAACATTAAAGAATCTATTATTTTAAAAATTAACTCAACCTTACTAATATAATTAATGTGAAAATTCGTATTTGGAAGGATGTTTGTTATAGGTCATCTCCTAAACGACTGAAAGGATCTTCATGAAATTTGGTACAGTAGAGTCTGTAAAACACATTGGCTGATTAACCTATTTTTTAATTCCAGGCGAATGGAGTCACGGGTGACAGCTAGTACATACCTTAATAAGTGTTGTATCTGTCATAGTGGCTAAAAAAAAGTTGATAATCCAAACAATTGTTATAACAAAAAGTCTTGCGGTCAATTCATTTTTCTCGGATATAAAATAGGAATCACTGAAACATTAAAATAAGTTAAAGTTATAAGAAACTAAACATGATAGTAAAATAAAACGGGAGATCACAAGAATCACAAGAGTCACGAAGAAAGGTCACGCCTCATATTGGGAAAATATAACAGCGTTTATCGCGTTCAGTGTAAAAGGGAAATACTCTTGAGACTTAATTCCAATGATACCTAAATGTATCACTTTACACGTATTTAATAGTAAATACCTTTTTCAATTACTCTAAATAATGAACAACTTTCAAACATTTTCTATCCAAAAAGTTACTGTCATGTTCAACAATATTGAAACATACTTTCGTAATTGATGTTTGGAAACTCAGTTCTCTAATATTATACATATAAATATTTGCATATCTGTACTATTATAATAAAACGTAAACACACACTTCTTTGTTGCCTAAAATGTTAGCAATTACAGCATATTTTTGAATAATTATCTTTTTAATAAAAAGCCATACACTTGCGTCACGCTTTGGACTATATATTTAAACGTCATTAAACTTAGGGGGTAAATATTTTGGATAAAAACCCTAATGTGGGAAAGAGGCCATAAGTTGCTGCCATCATCAAGGAAGCGAGATTACCATCATGTCATATAATTTTGACATTTGTAATTGATAATTTGACAAATGTAAACAATGAAATAAATTTTTGATAATTTCATGAGGATGAAGTCGCACGGGAACACCTAGTTACAATATAATATGCAAAAGGACCAAAGGGTTGTTACAAAAGAAAAGTTCTAAATTGAATGTCACTATCACATTAAATATTGTGACGAGATTCTAAGTTACGTCATTCCCCGAATAGACGCAGGCACGAGGCATTTTAATATGAAGTCGTTATTTCAGGTGAACTGTGGGGCGTCTTCAGAAATATGCTTCACGGAAACGTGGTTGTTTTGAAATGCTTTTGATATTCCTTGTCAGGATAGATAGAAAAAATGAACAAATGTATTTGTTCTCACTCTGGTATCTCTATACCCGAGTAGAGTTCCTTTTCTGATTAGAATGTGAACACTAAGAGCGTGCTCATACTTTTGAATTAACTATCACACAACTGTTCTGCGATTGTCGATTGTTTCGCAGCTAATTCAACTGTTTAGTTGCACAACTAAGTTCGAGTAGTGTGCATTTCCAAACCTCATTATAATCAAATAGATAGTAAACAGTTATGCGATAATTTAGTCTCAGATGTGCACGCTAATTAGAGAAGTATGTAACTGCCGGCCTTTCATAACGAATAGGAATTAATGTAATTGTTAATTGAATAGAAACTTACTAATAATTGACACTAGCGGAAGTGTCGTTTAAATTTGTTAGGTCATTCATTCTACAACTGAGAATAACATTAATTGTGGGCACACAATGCCGATGTATTCTGTTGCACTTTGACCAAGTCGGCATCAAATGAAGACCAGCGAAGAAATAACGTATTGAATCGGCTAAGTCACCTGCTAACTAAACATTAATTGACAACTATGAAAAAAAAAGTATTGAAATGTCAAGAATGAAAATGTAAAAATTGTAAGTTGTAAGGAATCAATAAAAGCTTATTATTTGTTATGGTAAGTGATTTAAAAAATCATTTAAAAAAACAGGCTTTTAAGGCTTAATCACAGAAAAATGGCAAACAAAGAAACTTTGCTTAGATTACTTTGCAATGATTTAAAATCATACTTCATACTAATGTTATAAATGCGAAAGTTTGGATGGATGGATGTTTGTTAGAGTTTGCAGTCTAAACGGCTGAACGAATCGAGATGAAATTCGGCATAGGTGTTGAGGATAGTCTGGAAGAACACATATACTTGCTTTTGTTTTTTTTTTTATTGTCGGAGTCGCGGGCGAAAGCAAGTACGTAAATAAATATATTCAAAGAAATGCTTACAATAATATTCCATAGTAATGATTGTAGTACACAGCCCATATGAATACCTCTCAGTAATGGATTCAAATATTGATAGCAGTCGATTCTTTTTGTATACTGCTTGATAAATACATCCATAAACATATATGTTATGCCCATTGTTATTTCCAGAAAAATAAAATCAACAATTTTAACTGAAAGTAAAATTTATTTATTAATCTGTTTCATTCATACTTTGACACACCTTTGACTAAACTTTTGCACTGTAGTGCGATTGTCGATTGTTTTGCAGCCAATGCAACTGTTTAGTTGCACAAATAAAAATGGAGTAGTTTGCGCGCCTCCATATAAGCTCATAGGAATCAAAGTGTGACTAAACAGTTGTGCGATAGTTTGATCAAAAGTGTGCGTGTGTAAACAGTATTTTTTTTTCATTTGTTCCTGATAAACTTACCGCGATCATACAATACTTTCGAGAATATATCAAAATTATAAGTTGAGGATGCAACCGAATAAGCAAGGAAAACGAATTGTTTTATACTGTCCCATTTGAAATGTCTGTTTAAATAGCTGTCCTGTAAATAATAAAAAACAACTAATATTAAATGTTTTTATTTATTTATTTATTTATAATATTAAATGTATTCATTTTCTACAGAATTAGAGCGCGACCACCTTTGACTAAACTATCGCACAACTGTTGTGCGACAGTTGCACGACTGTTGTTTGCGATTGTTTCGCAGCCTAGTCAACTGTTTAATTGCACAGCTAAAAATCGAGTAGTATGCACCATCATATACACGTAAGTTTATAGGAATCAAAGCGCGACAAAACAGTTGTACGATAGTTAGTCAAAGATGTGCACTCTATAGTTCCACAAATAAATGCCGTCAGATTCATTTACCATTAACCCTCAATTTGATAAGACCCTTAAGACGATCCAGTGTGATGAACCACTAATTATTAAAAATCTATTTTAGAGAGAAATTAGATTTTGATTTTAGTATGTTGGTAACATATTTTTTTAGCTACAAAAGACTTCGTCGAACTAAAGGTATTAGTATAGATTTAATGCGAACTTCACATGTGAAAACTTACGCTTTTATCGTGGACAGAAGATGTACTCATATCTAATTCAGTTCCAGTCATATTTGCAAAAAGTAATGAGGGCAGGTAATCTAGAAAAATAGGTACATTTTTTAATTATTGTGGCTAAAAAAATATATAATCCTAACTCGTGTGTGTAAATTTTGAGATCAATGAACCTTACCAACTTGACTCAATAATGGAAGGTTAGATGCTTTAATTTGAATTATTAAGGACTCCCAGTTAGCAAAATGTTTCAAACGGGATCCATTGAAATAAACTTCTGAGAAACATCTTGAATTGCTGTTAACATTTCACTTAGTAAAATTAGACAAATATCGAGTTCATCGAATCATAACTTGTTATATGAAATACTAGCTCTCACCCGCGCCCACGTTCGAGTGGTATTAAAAAATTCTACATCTATGCCAAATTTTATCGAGATCCGTTCAGCAATTTAGGCTAAAAACTCTAACATCCATCTAAACTGTCGCTTTTTACAATATTAGTAAAATGTAAGATGAAAGTTCTCCTAAAGTAACCACTAAATATTGAAGCGAAATATCAATATGTGGTATTTAGTTCAATCTATACTCAAATGTTTGCTTTTAACTAAGGAGAGTTTGCATCGTTATACAGGAAACGACGTGGGAATATGTTAAAGGAAATTCTGTACTTGTATTTGCACACCGAAGTATCGAACGTTACCAATTAGATAACCTAACAAGCTATTAAGATCCGAGTTGCGTTATTTGTTGACCATATATATGAATATTATATACTCAATTTCGTATTTATGAGACCAATAGTATATTCTTATTTATATTTCAAGCTCATTTGTAGACATACTTAACTTTATTATACCGTAAATATACTATTATATGTCAACTAAATATAGAAGTAAGTGAATATTGTGTACATTGAAGTACTCCAAAAATCCGCTCCCCACGTTCCAATGACAAATAGCTTTGTAGAAGGTGGACTGAGCAATTTGCGCACAAACCTATTGCACGAGTTATCCTGATAATCGAGTTGCGCGACGTGAAAGCATTATTTTTAGGCTGACTGAGGTATTAACCGGACACAGCTGCTTCGGTGTCTACCTAGATAGGATAACGTGCGAAGAGACGGCTAGGTGTTGGCGCTGTGGAGGAACCCGGCTTCAGCTTCGCAGTCTCGTGGATTACCAGCGTAGATACCAGAGTGATTAATCTTGGCTGGAGAACCGGTCTGGATCCGTCGTTACCAATAATGGTTTCTGCTATGCTGGCTGCTATGCTGGTATGAGCATTTCCCCAAGATAAAATAAAGGACACTTTACATGAATAGCAGTGTACTATTTGAATCTGTATTGCATAATAAGTTAACTGTAATACTAAAATATAAATACAAATCATTATAGTAATACGTGAAGCGCTTGCGAATGAGTATAAATTGGACACAATAGAAGTTTATGGAAGTGCGTAAAGCAATTAAAAAATATTATTGTAAATCATGGTCGAATTTGGACAAAAGGACTACTACTATGTCTATGTATAAACATGTAAAATTCTAAACGCTAAAATTTCTTTTCAAATCATATGTCAACGAGCGCCTGCAAAGTTCAAATACACATGAATTGACAGGCATCGGAACGATATATTTGCTCCGGAAATATTCTATTGCACCGCGGCTTCCATGAGATATTTGCTTTCGCCGTATCTCCTTTAAATCCGGATTTGAGTTTTTAAAAATTCTATCTTCCAATGCGGAGTGTATACCTTCATTTTATTCTCCAACTTGAGATGCTTCACTGTAGTGCTCTCGACAAACTCTAGTTCTAGATGACATCGTTGACTTGAATACGTCAAACTTTATAAGTAAGCTTGCAAGAGAATAATCCTAATAAAGTGATTCCAGTAACTTTTGTATTGTAAGATCAGATTTATCGTATTTAATATTGTATTCTTAACAAAATAAATACACTGTGGGGATTTTAACCTCACTGTATTACTTCTTGTAAGGAAACCTCTCGAAAACTTGAAAAAATTAAAACTCGTTTTTTAGAATTAAATAGATAGCCCATTTAAAAAAAACTTTTAATTATTCATAATAATAAATGGAGTAAAACCAAGAAATTGTCTTCTTGTTGTATTAGAATATTAAAAATGAAGATATAAATACAAAAGTACATTAAATTCGTGTAATTAGAAAACCAAAGGATGGAGGGAGCATCGCAAGAAAGGTTTTAAATTATAGGGCGCAACTAATTTGCAGTTTTTCGTCCTACAAGTAACAATTAATTCAATTAGAAAGACGATGAGCACAAAAATAGGTGTTAATAATTAGGAAAAAATTCTGTCAAAAGAAGTTCAGTTATCAGCAGTATAAGATTGTAAAATGTGAGAAACTTTGCTTGGTGTCGTTTGTAACACAACTTCTTAAAGCATACATCTGTTAAGGGTTATGTACTTCCCCCTTGAATATATTCCAAATCTTCTAATATTATAAATGCGAAATCTTAGATGTATGGATGAATGTATGATAGAGTTTCTAGTTTACTGCTGAACGGATCTCGAAGAAATTTGGCATAGACGTAGTGAATACTCTGAGCACAAAGGCTGTGTTCTTTTTATTTTTTAAATCCACGCGTACGGAGTCGCGGGCGGCGAAATAATAATATGATATAGCTGATCAAATTACTTGAAGCTTTATAATAATAAATACTTACCTAGTTCGACATAGTATTTGACTGTTATTTGTTAAGAAGTGTAAAGTTTACACTTAAGTTAACTTCGAACTATTTCACATGATTTTCAAGGAAAAGAATAAAATATTTTCTAAACATTAATGTATTTGATAATAACCGACCGTCTAAAATTATGTTTTGACAGTGTAATGTCAAGATTTTGACAACTTCAAATTGTTGTCAACAGAGATGTGTCTTTTTGTTCCAAAAGAGTTTTTAAATGTTTCCGTTCATAATATTGTTACCAGTTTTTCTCCTCATAACTGTACTTCATACGAATATTATAAATGCGAAAGTTTAGATAGATGGATGGATGTTTGTTAGAGTTTGTAGCCTAAACGGCTGAACGGATTTCGATTAAATTTGCCATAGATGTAGAGGATAATCTGAAAGAACATATAGGCTACTTGCATTATTGTTTTTTAATTCCGCGTATCTACAGAACGGATCAATGGATTTCGATAAAATTGTACGTTTGCGTTCCTCTTACATTATTTTGTAGACTGTAGTTGGCAACAACTCGTAGTTATAACTTGGATCTATTGCTACCATAGTTAGTTTCCTCTCTCCTTAACGTGCCCCTGTGTATTAATTACTTAACTATTTGGTTGACTGCAATATTGTAAACATATACATAAATAACATTTGTATAACAATGTGCATTCTATCTAACTCATTCATTGAATGAACCTCCCTTTCAGTAGGAAGTTTTTTTATAAAAATGTTTTAAAAGATCAATTCTCGATGCTCTTTTAACTTTTTCTTTCTTTTTTAGAATGTTTTAACGAATTTAAAATATGTCATATTTTTATCGAGTATGCTCGTTTAAGTCCAACAAGCACTCGATTCCAGTGGCCTCTTATATAGCTTCTTCTATCTACTTGAATCATCTTTTAACGGAAAATGTTTTATCGTGTGCACAATATCGTTCAGAAAGGATAAATACAAGCTTTGAGAAAGTGGAAAGATACTAGACTAGGTATCTCAAGGAAAATAACGAGTATATACATATTGTATTACATTCTTCTTGATATTTAAATAATATAATATAATAAATATAAATAATAAATAATATAAATAAATAAATCATATCTTGCTTCTTACTAATCTTACTAATATTATAAATGCCTAAGTTTAGATGAATGGATGGATGTTTGTTAGCGTTTGTAGCCTCAACAGCTGAACGGATCTCCATGAAATTTGGCACAGGTTTAGAGTATAGTCTGGAAGAAAACATAAGCTACTTTTTATTCCCGGAATAGTTACGGTTCCCGTAAGATTCTTTGATTTAGTTTTTTTAATGTTTACTCTATAATTCTGCAACGGTTCAACATACCTTATTGAAATTTGGCACAGATATAAAACAAAGTGTGGAGTACACATAGGATAAGGTACATATATGACTGCTAATAATATAATTTAAAAATAGAAGATTTATTGAAGGATGTAAAATGAAATATTAATATTCCAAAAACAAAAATATGAATATATTTCTAAATTGTTTCAATAAACATTACATTTAAAATAAGAAAAAAAACCATAACCCCATTGATAAGCTTTTTAGCTTCATACTTAAAAGAAAATAGATTTTTAAAAGAAAGTTTCTGTATTAATTACGGCGAAGCGTAAACACAGCCGAATACGGTCTGGGCGCCGAAATTAAACCGATTATTGGTTCCAACGATGGAAGCTTGCAGTCGATGCTGTCGACTTCAAACTTCTGCAGGATGCCAACAAACACGATGAAAACGAAGGACTTTGCCAAAGTATCTCCGGGGCATCGGCGACGACCTGTTGATAAAATACGTAGAATTAATAATATTTTCCAATGGGCGGCAACTACGGTAAATATTAAGCACCGCAAAAAATTGTAACGACTAAAAGTCAAATGACGAACTCGAAAATTGTATAAAATCGCGCAAAACCGCCCAACGATAGCTGAAAAACATGAAAAAAAAATCGCAACCAAGCACGAAACTTCAAATTTAATTTGCGCTCATGAACTTCAAAAAAACGAAAAAGGGCTCGACCTGACCGCTTTCTAAACGCCGACAAAATTGCATTTGCAGAATTTTAGTGGAGCTGAGTTGTAAAGCATTTAAAAAATGAAAAAACAAATTTTGTTCTTTTAATAATATTCATATTATGAATTAAAAAGATTTGTAATAAAATTACTTTAAATGTTAAATAGAATATCATTTTTAAGAGTGAATTAATGGTGATGATGATATAATAAACTGTTTCCATAATTACCTAACATTAAAATTATTTAAAACACGCATATCATTACATACAAATTTTTCTTAATCAGCACAGCACAGCACAGCACAGCACATAAAATCACAGTTACATCTGATCAAATACATTGTTTTAAGACATAATTATCAATTAGTTATTCCAATGAATATATTAGTGTTAATTTTATATGTTCATGTCAATAATTAACGAAACTTATTTGCTTTGCAATTTCTTAGTCGCATTATACCTACATAATTTAACTAAAAATATACATAACAGTAAAATTCCAAACTCACCTAAACCAAACGGATACAAATGCTCAATATTTTTCAATGCGCCTCGTTGATCTATAAATCTCTCCGGCTTAAATTTCTTCGGTTCGCACCATATCCTCGGATCGATATGTAAATCACCAACTGCCATGAGGACTGTCGTTTCTTTTGGTATAAAGTAACCGTCTATGAATGTATCAGCTAGTGTACGTCGGGGACCCATTAAAGGTACAATCGTGTAATAACGATAGACTTCTTGAAGGAATGCATTTGTGTAGACCAGCCTGTGCAAAAAAACATGACTTTATTAATCAACTTAGTAATTAGCGGCCATTTTTACGTATGGCTCCAGTCAGCTCAGTTTACCAAAGTACCTCGAGGAAATTTAAACTACACGACATGTACAGTTTGAACATTTTGAAACGAGACACGGAACAAAAATCAATACAACGCTTATAAATGTATTCGTACGAAAAAAAAGTCAGTTAGTGATACACGGATAGTATCTTTTTATTGTTGTCCCTTTTTTCGCACCACTCATTGCTAAATATAGGCTACATTTCCCGAAGTGGAACACCGCGAATGTCCGCAACTGTACATTGTATTGTGCAATTGTTAAAGAATTAGAACTAGTTGCCGGCGTTACAAGGCAAGGTGTTATTATTAACGAATAACAGCTTTATACTACATAGTTGCATTCCTTGGGAGTCTGAAACTAGAAGACGCCGAAATCAATTTTAACTTGAGGTTAAAAGTCATACAAAAAATTAATAAGTTTTCTTTCTCGATGTTCAGGTACACCGTTTTGTTTTAACAGTGGCAAAGCCCGCTTTAACATCTTCGCACGAATGGGCCGGCTAATCCGGTGTAATAACACGACCACACAGAAGACAGGCGTAAAGTGGAAGCAATTCCTCGCTTCGTCTGACGAGTGTGGTGCCAGAGGCCTAATTTTAGTCCCTTTCCCTTTCCACCCTTTTCTTAAGAGGAAAGGATGGTAAGGAAAAGTGGATTTAACGGTGGAGGAGACGCATAAGAGGGAAATGTCATCTTTATGTGTGTCTCCTCCTCCGTCAATTAAAGGTAGGGAACGCATCTGCAATTGCGCATGTTTATGGGCAGCGGTCGCTTTCCACTTCGGTGGATTCAGGTGGCCGCTTGCTCGTTTGCCATCTAATATTATAAAAAAAACCGCATAAAATTCTTTGAGATGTCACGTACCTACGAGTAATTATAACTTTGAGGGGAGTAAGTTCAAGAATCGTAGAAGTACACTTGTTTATTAAGTTCTCGTAGATTTGCTTCATATTAAATAACTACGAATGAGGAATTATGAATAAAATTATTATATTAACTGTAATAGCACTTGCACTGCACACGTATAAATTACAAGAATTATTCTATAATTCAAGCCATAATAAATGAAAGTAGGCTGTAGTAACGAGTACCAATCATTTTGACAAATGAATGTTGCAATGCAGATATAATAAACGGTCGCAACGAACATGTTCGAATTAATCGAATTATTAATTCTCGCATTAACATGAATGTTGTACTCTATCTGATAAAACTCTACATAATGTTAAGTCATATTCTTAAGAAGCCATAATGTCCTATCAAAATAAAATTTAAAATCAATAAGACAAGATAAGATCATAAAGAAATATTATGAAGATTTTCCTTCTTCATCTACTGATTGAAGTATAGGTACATGATGTACTATGCTAGACGCGTAAACAAACGCAATTGAATTTATGGAATTGGGGGATTCGAAAACATGATTTGGAATAGGATTTTGATGTTTTAAAGATTGAATAATTTTACTAAATGAGGTCGTCTTTGTTCAAACAACACATTGTATTCGCTTACATAAATTTCAGCTATGAATCGAAAAATCTGTGCCGCGATATTAACATATATTATACTACACAGCCATTGGCTATGTTCTGTATAATCTAAGCAGCTTTGTGTGGTAAGTAATGCAATATTTAGACGATATCTCTTGTAATCCTAGCTACTTGGTAGCTGATTTGAAATTTAAAGATCTCTGCGACACATTTACAGAAAGCGGTACCTTCTTCTAAATATATACATTTGTTGCAAAAGTCTCTTAACCAATCCTAGAGACGAATTTTAAAAAAATGTTTTTTTTTAGGATTTACAGTTTAAAAAATGAAGACACAGCAAGTTTTACGTAAAAAAACTCATCTATTTTAACATGTAATTGATTTTGATTGAAATTGGCATCTATGAGGAGGACAAAGGACTCCGTCGTAATCAATTTGTGACCATTCAAACAAATATTTCTAAATTTTACCGCAATAAAAAAAATTAAATTGTTTTCATAAGTAGTCTTTTAAGCCCCCGCTTACGACAGACATTTTATCGGCTGTTAATTTAGTATGGTGTTTAATTACTATGAATATGTACAGTGGTGCACAAATTACACCCATTCTATTTTATAAGATTTTGACTTTAAACGCTAAAACTATCGGGTGATAAAAAGTGTATCGTGGGAGTTTTTAGTACCGCTATTTGAGAACATATTAAAATTGCAAAACTGTGGAGCAGATCTATGTAGTTACATCTCCTTTTTATCCCTTCTTTGATCTTTCACTGAAACGTATGTAACCAGGGACAATATTAACACTCTAAACACTTACCTGCTAACATCAGACCAAGTTGGTGGTGCGGTGCCCAAAATCTGATTTATCTCCTTGTATATTTTATCTTGTATATCCCTGTTTCTCAATAAAGTAAGCAGCGCAAACGATAGTACGTTACTAGTTGTTTGCGATCCAGCGATAAGTACATCGAGACATATCGTTTTTAATTGCTCCTCTGCAATGAAAATTGGCAAATACAGTAATCGAGTTTAACTTCAATTTTGTCGAACAACGCCCGTTTTCGTATCCCCGGGGAAAAGCTATCAGAATCGACCATTCATGCAATATGTAGAGTTACTGTAATCAACGAAATGAATAAGCGAACACATGAACGAATTAAAATTAATGTGGTAAATAAACAGTGGTAGATTCCGCTATTACATCTTCGCACGAATGGGCCGGCTAGCCCGGTGAAATACTACGACCACACAGATAACAGGCGTGAAGTGGGAGCAATTCCGCGTTTCGTCTGATGAGTGTGGTGCCGGAAGCCTTGTTTTGCCTTGTCCCCTTTCCTTTCCATCCTTTTCTTAAGAGGGACGGATGGGAAGGAAAAGTGGATTTGACGGTAGAGGAGACGCATAGAAAGCGGAAATGTCATCTTTATGTGCGTCTCCTTCCACCGTCTATTAAGGGTAGGCAACGCATCTGCAATTGCGGATGTCTATGAGCAGCGGTCGCTACGCCATTTCGGCGGTTTCAAGTGGCCGCTTGCTCGTTTGCCACCTCATAATATAAAATAATCAAAAGAGTTTCTTATTCATAGATTCTTTAAAGTGTCTTTTTAAGTAGGCGACCAACAAGCAAGGTGTCAAGTCAACAAGTAATATGTCGCCGTTTCTGATAGTAGAAACGATATTTCTCGTTTCCATTCGTTCCGTTTTCTATTCGTCGTTAATAAAAGCGAGAAGGTTAACGAACTAGAATCTGGTCTCTGAACTCTATGACCTGGGATTAACGCGAGCTCAAAATTCTCTTTTTTAGTCAAAGTAAAAAGTCTTTTAGGAACATTTACAATAATTTTAGGTATCTAATAATAATAATAAAGATTAAGTTTTACAAACAATGTGATAAATAAATATGATACTGGAAATAATATTTTAACACAATTGTGCGGCGAACAGAAACCTTTCTTGTTAATTGACTGCTGCAACCTGCAATTAAACTTGAGGCAATATTTTAAAATATTTTATACTCGAATAATAAAATGAAGTGCTTACTTGTTTATAAGAATTGTAGCAATTCATGTATCATTTAATGAAGCCGTCTTCCAGCTTTTTTATCCTTTTATGAATCATGCATAAGGCATGAACTTTTCAAATATCTATACCGATATTATAAAGAGGAAAGATTTGTATTTCTGTGTTTTAGTTTGTATTGAAAGAACTCAAAAACTACTAGACCGATTTCAAAATTTCTTACACCATTAAAAAACTACTTTATCAATAAGTAGCAAATGCTATGGATTCAGTACTTTCAATCATAGAATTTATTTGTAAGGTGACTTCTAAACTCTGGTAATAAATACTCAGTTATAGTTTTAACTGTCTGTTGGGAAATATTTTAATAGATATATTACAATTCGTTATATTTTTATTTACCTGTGAAGCCTTCTCTTTTACTTTCCATTTCTTCTAAAAATGAATATATGAAATCACTTCCTGCAACCAGCCTCTTTTTATGTTTTTCAATGTGTTCCTGAAAAAAATCACTTTATTAATTACATGAGAATACTCTTTGTAATGTATTGCAATATATTTGATATACAAATATAATAAATTCGAAAGTTTAGATGGATGCATGTTTGTTAGAGTTTTTAGACTCAACGGCTGAACGGATCTCGATGAAATTTGGTATAGATGTAGACACATAATCTGGAAGAACACATAAGCTACTTTTTTTTTCACGCAGACGAAGTCACGGGCGAAAGCTACTTAATAATTCGTGATCTCTAAGTTTGGAATTCCAAGAAAGATCTAAAAGACATTAACAATTTTTAACTGCGACGATTTCGGTGTGTTTCAAGTTTATAGGTAAGCGTTTCTCATGTTACAACGGATCACTTTGGACTCTTGGTGATTTCAAATTATTTACTAGTGTAATTTTCCAAAAATAATTAGAACAGAAGATTTTACAAACAGCGGCATCAGCATATAATTTTGTGTCAGTAAATTTAGAAATCGTCCCCGTACGTACATTTAACTGGATTGGATAGATTTGATTGTCTCGTCTGACTTTAATTAGCCATTATTATGAATTGATAGTTGCAGTTAATATAAATTACCTCGATAACAGCAGATATTTGCTCGTTCATCCTATTTATAAGAGAATAACCACTCAATTCGGGAAATATGAATCTGCACCAAGGTGCTTGGTTCAGCAAACCTCCAGCTATCGTGAATGCCTTAGATCGTGCACTCAATAATTCCAGCAAATACTTTAAACGTTTCTCTTCTATACGCTCTCCTGCACCAATTGCCAAAAACATTAATAAAACATTCAGACAGCAACACACATATCTGTTACAAGTTATCCAAAAAATCATTTTCCCATCATTATTGTACTCCCGTAGTTGTTATGCAAAAATTGTAGACTATTCAGTAACTGCGATAACTATTTGACAATAGCGGCATAACATACACGATATTTTTAGTAACTAGATACGAGATCTTAGATGTTGATTGGTTCACTTCTTTACAGCCATGTTACGATACATATATACATAACCTGCTATTATTTTGCGAACAGTTTGTCGAATTTTCATTTCGTTACGTGATTTATAAATTCGAGTAAGAGAATACTGCCAATACAAAATGTTGGCTTAAATATTACCCTAAAAATAATTGTACGTTCCGACAATCGGAAAACTTGTATCAAACATAACAGAAAAAAATAATATGTTACACAACAGTGGTAGAGTACGATTTAACATCTTCTTACGAATGGGATGCCAGTACTGATACAATACCACGACCACACAGAACAGACGTAAAGTAGGAGCAATTCCCTTTTGTCTGAAGAGTGTGTGTACCGGAGGCCTAATTTTAGTCCCTTTGCCTTCCTATCCTTTTATTACGAGGAAAGGATGTGCAGGGAATGTGGATTTGAGGGTTGAGGAGATGCATATGACGCAAAAGTGCGATTAATTTCTGAAAGCTGATGGATTAAGTGTATGTATTAAACCAAACACTATTACAGAAATAAGCAAGGTAATGGTCGATATTGGAAAGAAGATTTAGGATTCTATTCATAAACCCATTCTAAAACCTTATTAAGGTATTACGCGTTGCTCTTCAATGCGATATTAGATAGCATGTTAGCCGTCTTGTTCTTTAACCTTGAAGTCTAAATAAGTCGTTACTTCGATTCATGTAGTAATCGTACGTGAAGATCCGGTAACGTCGTAACAATGAGACTATTCCACGAAGCAAACGTTAATATTATAATCGGATTGTTTCAAATTCGCTTGTTTCATTTCGTACAATAGGTCCACAAAGATTAACATGTATTTGTGTCTAATTATTCAACGTTATCGCAGTTTTTTTTTTTTTTTTTTTTTTTTTTTTTT